CAGCATAGGACTTTGATACATCTGGAGATGCCATAAGTTGTAGTGTTGCAAATAACCCCAGTGATCATACGCACCCGCAAATAGCTCAGCTGTTTGGTATCTGTCTTCAATCTGCGGCCAATTATCTGTGAAAAGTTTACACTCCTTGACACTCTTTTGTTCGACCACTATTAAGCCATTCTAATAGCGCAGATGCACGCATCGCACATCATTGCTGCAATCATATCGAGAGACAAATGAGTAACGTACTGAGGAAGGAATGGCATCGTGTCCGACTGCCATCATTTGGCCAGCGTGTTCGAAGAATCGCGTCGGAATGAACCAACTATCATCGCTGCAATGTGCCAGTTCATTAGTGTAATAGTCCTGATTATCTTGGCGAATCATCGGTGTCAGGAGGTGGTCTGGAGCCTCGACAAGCCACTTCTCTGCCTGCCACACTTCAGAGACGGCATTGGGTGTGTACTCTGGGTACGCGTGAATCAGACTCCGGGTTGCAGGGTGCGTATAGTCCTGAGAGGAGGGATCAGATGACATCAATCCATAGTCAGTTCATACGTGTCAGCGAGTCTTTGCGTACCTTCGCGATGGCCTTTGTAACCTCATTCATGTAGAACACATTCCCGGATGCCGCCGTAACCTTCACTGTGGGATTACCGACGGCATCGAGAGCCTCGGACTGGAATCTGTGGAGAGCATGTAGCGTCGGGACATTCTTGGCGCCCAGCTCACGTCCCCATGCGAGCACAGCCTGTTGTTGCGATCGTGAAAAGCGCAGGCGGGGTGAGCTGAACAAGATGTCAGTCTTCAGCATCTGGCAGCGCAAGGTGAGCATTTCACGAGCGAAAACGATGAAAATGATCACTCACAGCTTTATTCGGGTATGGGAAGAGATCCGGTGACGATTCAGCAGCTCCAAAGTACAAGTCCGCGATATCCTGGGGTGTGAGTGCATCAATCGGAGAGTCCCCTAGTATGAGAGGAAGTTAGCAGCGATTTTTAATGCCGGTAGGGGTTAAGTGACTCACCTTCGTGCGTAACGACATCATCATCTTCGGGCAGGATAACATCTGGCAGCGGCGCTTCATCGTCACCTTGCCAGAGCCCTGCTGCAGCGTCGAAGAGAGGGACACCAGCCAGGGCCTCCTGGAGTGAATCAGCCAAAGGGTCATGAACGTCGTTGCCTGCAGTGAACACGACCTCGCCCGAAATAGCAGCGCGCATATCATCGGATAGTTGCGGTACGTTCGCCTCTCGGTTCCTCCAGTCTTGGGCAGAGGTAAGCCAGCTGTCACCCATATCCGGTACGTCTTCTACCATGACTGTATACTTCTGTTGTCGCAGATGCTCCGACTCGGCACGTTCACGAGCTATCCGAGCGAGATGTATGCTCAACCGAGTTTGATGACTTGGACGAAGTTCATGCGCCGGGAGGGTCTTGACCAGCGTCCATCCTTGACTAGCTTGACTGCTTGAAAGGTCACTGCTTTGGCAGACCTTGCACCGCCCAAATTTTCCGTCGAGCTCAAAATCTGGGTAAGAGAGTGATCATCAAGCTCCCTGAATCAGTGATGAAGGAATGTGTACATACCTTGAGGCCTTTGAAGTTTATCTGCCATTCCGTTATCCGAGACAGGAAGAGCGTCGGAGAGGGGCAGCAGACCAAGGGGGCAGTTTCGGCACATGCACAAAGCTTGCCACGTTTGTGTGGCTGATATGTTACAATTCAAACGGACGGCTACATGGCATTGGAAACAACACAAGAGTACATATTGGTAATAGATACTATGTTAGGTCACAAGAAGAAAAAGGGCGGCAGATCGATACCCTCAGGCTTCACAGACGAAGCTTTTGCAGTCCTCTTCCTGATGGGAGAAGGGCTCAGGAACTCTTCTTGCGACTGCTCCTCAAGAGGGATATCGCCACCGCATCGCTCCAGGGCAGATGTGAGAGCGTCGGTCTTGGCCATTTCCGCATGGTACATGGTTTTGTAGTACCAGGCGGAGTGTACCTCGCGAGGTGGTAGACCGTTCGAGTTCTTGAGCTCTTGCGTAAGTGCGGCAATCTTGTTCTGTAGTTCACGGCATCGCGCGCACTCAGAGTCGTTCGACCTCACCGGTACAGACTCTATCGAATATCTTGCAGTCAACAATCGAGCCAGTGAGTATGGATGTGCACAACTTACTTGAAGGTAACGCGTGCTTCGTCTCGAGCGCCTCGCGCTTGGTAGGTTTGGTAGGGGCAGTCACTGTGAATCGCGGCAAGCGAGTTTAAAAAGCAGAAACGTGATAATATACCAGCAGGCATGAAAATACGTACGTTTGGGCGACACGGTAAGCGCCTCAAGATACTGTGTATCGGTGGTCTGCGAGTCCAGTGCTCCACCTAATCCAAATTGACTGTTTATAAAGATGTGTTTGATGAGCGAACGGAGGCAATGGACTACAGAACCGCGAACAGACTTACAGGGCGGTGAGAACACCGCATGTATCGCTCGCCGAGCGTCGTGGCCGTTTGCGCGCCAATGGAGACAAGGCGGGCCAGTCATCGTATGCCTGAGTGGGGGTGTATTCATCTTGGGAGTCCTCCATGGGCAGCAGAGTGTGAGGAATGTCGTATATTAGACCGTTATGTCGCGCTCTGGTGCTTTGGAACGTGTCGTGTCGTGTCGCGTCGCGTCGCGTCATGCCGCGTTTTGCATCTCAGCAGGCATGGTTTCGTACGGGACTCCATGGACAATGGGTAGATATGCAAATCGACGTGAGAAGGACGTTCGAGGCCCAACGTTGCTCCAACGTCAGAGCATGGTCGTGGCGACGTGTCCCATGCATAACTCGGAGGCTGTGTCATAACATTGATCTTTTGTCCGGCATGCATGCCGACGGTTGTCTCTCACAACCTCATAGCTACGTAGGCTCACTTAGACGTTGTAAAAACAACTGACCCCTCCGGTGGTGTA